ATTGCTCTTCGCTACATCATTTTGGTTACACAGAATGGTTTCAATCCCCTCACTATCACAAGAGTTTTGTGTTGTAGTTTTATGTTTGTTTTCTTGCTTATACACAGTAATATCTGTGAGAACATTAACCTATTCCCTTTCTTAGCTAATTATTTACGGGAAAGGAAGCAAAGGAAGAGTCAGACATTGTTGAGCATACTCAGCTGGGAAGCAGAGGCCTGTTTGCTTCGCCAGGAAGCTACAACTTCACACCCCAAGAAACCTCAGCATAGCCCCTCCAAGGGGATTAACACCCTCCCCTCCCCCCAACTGGTACCAGATTGTGTAGGGGGCGAGGGGAAAGCAGAGGGAGAGGTAAGAACATGAGCAATAAAGTCAAAATGGTGCAGGGGGAGGTGCTGAACCATAGAGGCCTGTCAGTCTAACCTGGGAAAAAGATCATTGGCTAGGGATGGACCCCATCAGAAGCCCGCAACAGTTTGGGAAGCTGATTGACTATTTTGAAAGAGCTCCTGGTTCCTCCCAAGCCAGAGAATACATAATTCCAAGTGGACAAAGAAGCTCTCTGTCCCTGGCTTGAGACCTGAACTTGCCCTGTCCACTCATGTTCTCTCTCCATAGCCACATGGCCCTAGCAGCTGCATGGCCACTGGCCCTGCAGACCCCACACCCAGGCTCCAGCAGGAGCCTAGGTACAGCAGCAAAGCAATGGATTGCAGCAGGAACGCAAGCTAAGTCAGCCAGATGCTCCACTGAACTCAGTTTTAACACTGCACAGAATCTCTGGACATTGACTCTTTCTGGCTCTGATTTTTCCACAGTGAGAGGGACGGATATAGGACATTGGGGAACTTCTTTAATTTTGCTTCCTGAATGAATTTTGCCACCAGACCTCATCCTCTCTTGTAGGTCCTCCAAAATGCTTTCCTCCTGACAGTGCAAGAACCCCCTTCCACCAGCAACAATAAGAGGAGGAATAAGACAGGAGCAAAACAATGCACTGCTCTGTACTAAACAAAAATTGGCAGAGCAACTAAAGACTAATTCCCAGAATAGAGCACAATAAAACCAAAGAAGGATGGTAGCAATTATGAGAGCATTTTGAAAAATTAGCTTTCAACTCCCGAATCAAGTCTTGGAATTGCTAAGAATCTTTAGAAAATAAAATCAACGTATTTTTGTAAGGCTTCAAGGTCAAAGCCCGAGAGCCAACAGGGTTATAAAGTTTGTTCATGTATGTATTACTGAGTTGATAGTTCCTGATGATAAAAACTGGATAGACTTGCAAGCTATTAAGTCCATATTTGATGCTAAAATAAGAATCAACTATTCTAATTCAGGTCATGTCCAATAACCAAGGTATAATGTGCCTCGGGTATTAATAGAAAAGGTACAGGAATATGTAATAACTCATTAGGGCACATGAAAATACCAATATTGGTCCTATAATTTGATATTCATTAAATACTAAATATTATGTTTCCTATGTTAATTATAACCAAAGCTATCAGAGATCCCAGTACACTTTTTAAGAAAAATGTAAAACTTTTTTCTGGAAGATTATCATGGAAAAGGTTTTAGTTTTTATACTTAATGGGCTGGAGAATATCTTTAGGAAATGTTTAAATCTAAGATATCTAATAATTACTTGTAGCATATTTAATAACTAAGAGTCAGGATCTGTCTCTTCTTAGGTCAACCACTAATAAGCTCTGTGAACCTTGGAAAATTAAGTTAACCTCTGAAAATCAAAGTTCCTTAATTTCTAAAATAGGAATATCTCCTATTTTACTAAAAGAATAAAATAATATACTGTACTACCTTTGGATAGCTTAACATTTGCATGACACATAGCATTATTAATTATATTTTTTCCTGAAACAACATGACTAAGCCATTGGAATACAACAGAAAAGACAGTATTGTTAAAAACTTTATTTTTAAAATTCTTCCTCTGTCTAGAATGTAGTTCATATAAAATAAGGAACACAAGATGAGAAAATAATGGCACAGTAAAAAAAAAAAAAAAAAAAGGCAATGACCATGCCAGCAGCTTTTATTTATAGGGAACTGTTAAGAACAAAAGAGGAAGAGAAAACAAAAAGAGAATTATAAAAGAGCAGAGAGGCCACAAGGAGGTAAAGAGGTGAAATAGCTAGTCACCATAAAATATCAGATGATCATTATATTCAAAATAGTTGCGGGGGGTGGGGGGGGAATTCAATTGTCCCAAGGTGCATTCTGTTAGTGCCCTTTGAGCCCTAGGCCTGTGTGCAAGATACTACAGATTTGAGATTAACAATTTGTGGTATCCTAAATTTATGTACTTTTTAGTAAAAAATTTAACTATTTGTGACACATTTCTTTCTATGTCTTCCAATGTGCACACAGAAAGAGCCAGGCAGGAGCAATTTTATTAAGGGCAATCTAAGGCTGAAATAAAAATAACCCTCTACCATACCAGGAAAGGCTAGATTTACAACTGAGTGGTGCGACTTCAATACTCAAAAGGTGGCAGCTGGCCGTGTTTAATCATTACGGTCTCCATTTTCCATAAAGAAATGAGCAAAAAAGTCCATGGTACTTACTGGTACACACCCACATTGGAAATAGGAACAAAATTTTCCAAGTTATTCAGAATTAGGAATTAGTTTCTCTTCGTCTACATACTATCTGAAAAATAGCATGTCAAGTCTATATGCTGGGAGAGTAACATTGATTAACACAATGTGTCTGGCGATGCATGAAAGCTGAAATCTCTGATATTAAATTTATATAATCAAATGCATAATCATCATCCAATGTACATACTACCTGGTAAATTCACCAAACACGGAGGCCATTAGACCAACGAGGATCTAATGCCCCCGCGACCTACCTAAGCAAAGCAAAATCTAAACCTGTAAATGCCTCAAGGTTACTATATCAACAAGCTAAGGACAGCCGATCACAAACAGTCAATTAGGCTTTAAGCTACAGCCATTCAATAATTTCTTTACTTGGCTTGTCTTTTCTCTATAAGATTTTACCCAAGCACCAGTCCTGGAGCACTCCTACCCACTTCTAGTTTTGCATGGCCCAATTCAAATAGATTTTTGCTCAAATAAACTCTTCAAATTCATAATACTCATTTTACCTTTTCACATGTCTCTCAGCTGAATTTGCTTACCACCCCTATATTTATATAGTAACAATATCCAATAATAAATTACTCTTTGGCACACATATTTTTGTCACCAAATAAAGAGAAACACAGCTTGAATATTCTGTAGAGTAACTTAATCAGAAAAGGCCTGAAAACACTTTTGTTCTATACTAGAAAAAAGAGGATAATTTAATCTCAAATTTCAATGGTGAAAATTTTCTAGATTAAATGTTTTCTCTTTGATTGTTTCTTGACATTATTAATGCTGGCAAAAAGTAAGTTCATCTGAGGAGAAAAAGAAGTGTTTGTGTTTACTTTCTTGTGAATATCATAATTCTTATACAGATGTTAATTTAAACCTACGTCATTAGCTCATGATCACTAAGCTTCATTTATTTGGAGACCGTTTAATCAATTTTTATTAGAAATAAATAAATAAACCCAAGGGAAACAAAACTCACATTCAGCTTACCCTACACAATTACTTCAAAGAAAGAGCTATTTAATTGACGTTTGTGAAGTAACTATATTTAATATGTACTGAAAATAAAAATACTTCTAAGTGTTTACCTAAGATGAATTTTACTGAGTAATACTGATTTCTAGTATGTCATTATTAATATATGCAAATAACCTAGAATAAAAATATTTGAGTGGTAAAGAGTTTCAAAGTACAGTATAGAGACTTTCTACCTCTTAAATGGGAAATAGTGATAGACAGTGGAAAATGGTGATAGATAGTGAAAAATCCACAAGCTTAAACATATGGAAAATCTGAAGAATTTTCTCAGGCAAATATTTTTTCTGATGGACAGATGAATCAGTCCACAAATATTCCATCTGCCACCTTTGGACTACACAAGAGTCTTGGCAAATTAGAATCCATCTGAAGTGTAGGTGGGTTTCAGGAAATTGAAACACAACTCCTTGCAAACCCTTCATGGAATTTACTAGTGTATACTTAACACTTGGATTTTCAAACTGTAAAATGAGGTTCGAACTGCTAAAAAACACATGCATTTATTTCTAGATTATTAAGTGAAAAAATGATGTGCAAGTAATTAATTTGTAAAGTAAAGGACATTTAATATTTTCTAATGATAAAAGCATTGTTAAACTGGGCTCTTATTTATTGCATTGCATGTTTTGTAATGTGTTCTACCATAAGCTCACTTTGTATATAAAACTGAGGAATTTGTTTCAGCCGGATTCCAATGGAAAGAGAATTGAGGAAATAAGTTACAAAGGCAATGTTAATAAGGGGCAGAAATTCAAGCTCCGATAGTATATTTTGTATCTGGATATAGCAGAGAACTTTCCAATTAAGGCCAACAAGTAGAAAGCTGATAACTCTGAGCTGAGATTTATAAGGAGAGGTCAGCAGCATGTAATGAGAATTTGGAGCACATACATCCAGCTACAACACCTTTCGTATAAGTATAGCTTCTAATGCCAAAAGCTAATGGCTCCGCGACAATAATAAATAATGGTGAGAGAATATTTTAGCCCCAGGCCTCAGAAAAAGAACTCTGGTGGCATTATACAATTTTCATTAACACTAGCTGAAGGAGTAGTTCTAAAGGGTAGTTTCAATTTCCTAAGTGTCTCAGCAGTAGAATATGTAAAATCACAATAGGCAAGGAACACCTTTTAGTTGAAAGCCATCCTTTTTGCCATGGAATTTACATCTAGACATGTCCTTGCAGGAGAGAGAGAGAGAGAGAGAGAGAGAGAGAGAGAGAGAGAGAGAGATGCCCACATTTCCATTACTCATTGTATTACATTCAAAAAAAATTTTTTAAGTAAATAACACTTAAAAGCATTGGAATTTACTTAATATTTATTGTGTACCTACCAGTATAAGCTCAGAGCACACATGTGTATGAGACCAGCTGCAGTTGTGCCCTGCGCAATCAACAAGGCCATTCACAGCCAGCCCTGGAGAACACAGACTTCAGAGTTGGCAGATCTGGAATCAAGTGACCCTAACCATGTGACTGTGAGCAAGTTAATGAACCTCGCTAAATACAGTTTGCATATGCATAAAATAAGGGTAATAATATCAACCACCACCAAGGGTTACTGACCAATAAATGCAAATAAAACACATAAGACACTCCCTGCCAGAAGTTAGTGAGCTATGAAACTTAACTGTTTCATTTGTTATTATTACCACCATGTACCAGCCTTTGTA